TCTTGAGTTCGTTCCGAATTCGATTATTACTTACGTCTACTTATTACACAGTCAATCAAGAGCACGAGAGATGCTCGGAATACACAATGTATTAAAGTAATGGTGGCAGAGCTGGCTTGCTCGCTCCCTTGCCACCGCTGTGACGTCACCAACACGCGAACGCGTCCGCGCCGCCGGTGAGCTTTTCCATGGAGCCAGAAAAGGGTAGCGGTACGCAAGAACACAGGGACACAGTTTTCGAGATGATTTGGCAAGGCTGAGCCGTTATGGCTCTGGGATGGAGCATTGGCCCCGCCCAACACCATTGAACCGCCCACAAATCAGTGCTATTTCGCTTGCTGCTACGAGAGAGGGTTTATTTTCGGCCTTGTCGACGGTTTCTTCCCGTTTTTCCATTGCTGGCGTTACACTTCACATCTCCACTGTCACTTGCAAGCGCAATAATACATCAGTTCGATCCCGGACTTTGCCTTTGAATCCCCTACAGATGTCTCGATACGATTCCTCCCCCCTCCCACCTCATTCTCCGATCACCTACCTTCAAAACCGTAGCTGTTTCAGCGTGATCCTGAAACTTGACTTGATACACTTCGAAAGACGATTTTCCAAAAAGCTGAAAGCTTCGTTGATCTCGGCTCGTTAAGCTCTATAAGATGTTGCTCCAGGACTCTGCAAAAAAGTGACCTTAATCCTACAGCGAGAGCTAATGAATATAGAATGAGGCGGGGGAGAGGGAAGGGATGTCATTGGAAATGGCAAATATTCTAGTGCTGCCTATTTCATGCTTATTATTTGAAGAATTTGTCAAAAGTTAGTAAAAACCCGTCAAAACGGCCACCTTTCCCGCAACCACGACCCCTTCGATATGATTGACCCCCGCTTCGACCTTCTCACCCTTGATAACCCCAATTACAGCCCTTTTTCAAAAAACACATATGTAGAGATGAGATTGTCTCGCTCCAATGCGACCGCGCCGCGACGCGTCCGCACGCATGGAGTTTCGAATTCTCGGAGTTGCGCTCGATGCGATTCAGTTGGATTCATGCGTTAATTTCGTTACCAGTAATCTGTTAGTAAGCCGTTTTACTATTTTCTGGTTAAAGTAGGGATGGTTTATCTGCAGTATTGCTGACGTTCTCTCTTCGCTCTTTTTTCATACATACCTCGAGCTTTGCTTAGTGTGTACGTTTTCCGTACTTGATTGCTGTCTTCATAATTGCTGTTGAAATATCGCTTCGCTTTCCTTCTCAAGTGATTGCGGCAACTTAATCACGGCAGCCATTTCGGGTACCCCATTCTTTTCATGGGAGTGATCATTTTGTACTCCTACTGACTAGTATAGGGCGCCATTCGTTGCGGGACCCACTGCCTTAACCCGCGGGGATCCCATGTGATCGCGGTTGAATTCGAACATTCCAGCTTCTCACGCATGTCAAGTGTCTGCCCTCACCCCCCACCCCCCTAGACTGGCGACACTGCCCCTGGCTCACGGATTCCCCGCTCCACATTGAAGGGTTCACTGTAGCAGGAGGCAGTGGGACCCGTAACGAATGGCGTCCTTTACTAGTCAGAAGGAGTACAAAACGATGCGTTCATTTCTTTTTGGTAGTGTCGTCAAGTAAGGAAGATTTTTGGTCTATTCCAGCAGAAGGGGACATCGTGGTGCAGTTTTTTCCAGAAAGCTGGGATAACTCCGATCCAGGGGAGTGTAGCCTAGGGTGAATATCGGTCGAGGAAATCCTCGGCAGGGAGGTCGTTGATGGTTGTCAGGTATGGGTCATGGGGGGTCGTATTCTTGGGGGGTCAGTAACGTCACTAGCATGGTGCAGATAGCAGGGAGCGCAGCAAAAAACAGGGATATGTGAGGAAACATGAGGTAAAATATTCTTTGCAGGTGCGGTCGCTCCGTCCCTCTACCTTCGAGAAGGAAGTATTTGAAAGTACTACAAAGAATGAAAGCGCATCTTCGCAAGGAGCACGGTCACATGTGCACGCGCGCTGCGAAGGCATTTCCTCTACCTAACTCCTCGCTCTCTCGCCCCCAATACCTCGTTGAGAATGACACTGTTGTTAGGGACGTTGTCGCAAAAACGGCAATAGTTTTAGAAAGATCCTGAGCAAATGAAGTTGTTCCTTAGGTTGCAGCACTTATGAAATGTGTTTAGTGCAATACAGTTCCTGTCAACAGGTCATCGTCATATGTATAACACCTTTCAATAGACCTACAACTTGAGTGGAGGTCGGGTACATGGGTGCTATTTTTTTTTTTTTTTTTTACTGGAGACGAGATCGGACCATGACGACCCGTTGGGAGAATTTATCCTCGACACATTTCGAGAGTTTTCAATGAATTAACTTGCAATGGTGGAGAAGGGAGCGGCTTCATAGGTGGCCGAGATCCATCCTTGATAGATTGTCGACGCAAATATCTCCTCAACTAGAAAATGTAGGAGTTAGATGAACAGAACCATTAGAAAGCGCAAACCTTCCGTTTTTCACAGCCGTCTTCCCTTTTCCTAGATCTTACGAAATGAGAGAGATATTGCTTTCAAATGGCAAAAACTCGCATGAAAATTTTTAGCATCCTCGACGTTCCCTCGACAAAATTTAAGAGACCCTATCTCTTCGAGAGTAAAGGTTTAGATCAGTTTCAACATCCTGGTAGGCTCAAATTCTCTATCTAACCTTACCACACAACTGCTCTGGAATGTTCCGAGTTCACACTTGTTCGTCGAGAAGATGGAGATGATGCCCCCTAACTGGAATAGACCCCAATTTTCCGCAGGGAAGGAAGCTCCAGGGTGAATTCCGAAATTGAAGCGAAATGATTCATGCACCGCTGGGATTTCCTCCCCTTGCAAAAATTGTGATTATTGTAAAAGGCAGGAAGTGTCATGCATGCCGGTGCTACTGCTCGAGCAATTTCATTTTCTCCAAGGTGTTCCCCTTCTCAGACTTAGTCCTAGGGGATGCCTCTCCCACACGTGCAAGCGGCAACTCAGAATTAGCATTGAGCAGTTTTTGAATAGAAAATCTTGTGGAAAGGGCTTTCCCCGCAACATGAACGGTTCTTTGCAATTTACGCGTGATCTATTAAATATTGTATTGTATTTTCATCCTGTAGTTACCCTTTTCAGGAAGTCGTTCGTCAATACAAAAGAAAATTTGCGAGCATCATGGCTACGTGAGTTTCTAAGGCTTACATTAATATTTTTGTTTTTTTCTTGGTCGTAGTATGCCACTCACTATGCGCCCAGTGTTATTTGTATATATTTTCGGTATGAATTGTGGAAACCAAACCAAAAGTGGTAGTGACCATAAGGACGATTTCCCAAACAAGTTAGCCAATCCAAAAGTCATAAGCTCTCAAATTTCATGGTTTATTTGATAAGCCATTTTAAGCATTTGTCCTATCTCCACCTTCCAATGGTGGATTCGATTTGAAATTCTGACCCACCACTTCAAAAGTGTAGGCGCTCATCATCTGAATTCCACGTTATTTTTCCCACTGCATAAATGTACAACCTATGACCTCCTAAACCACTCCCAAGTGCGAATCACCTTCGTAAAGCAGTACGAAAATCTTACCAAATACGATATCCCGAAGTACGTTATCTCAACAAAATACGATATGTCAACAAATACGATATCTCAACCAAATACGATATATGAGACTTGGGTAATCCTGGCCGGGTGCAGCAATCCCCGGCCGGGGAACTTATCAAAACTATGTTTCTACTACGTTCGATAACGTAGGCAAGAGTAGGGGATGCAAAGTTTTGGGTCACGATCCCCGGCCTGGGCATGTTATGGCTATGGTCGGCTTTGACGTGCACGCCTCATCCTTCCATTCGACATATGAGTTCTTGAGAGAATTGAAAAATGGTGTCCTTTCGGACCCATTGTGGCCGCATCCTTGTGGGTCGACGAAATCAAGAGTTTGTTACTGTAAAATTTATTTAGAATATTCTCAATCATTCCTTTACGTTTATTAATGTCCCGACTAATTATGGATATATTCGCACCTTGATCATGTTATGCATATTTCAAACTGGGTATTCGACCTTGATTCATGTAGTGCATATTTTCAATGCAATAGGTATCTCCCTTTCATCCTGCGTGTGAGAATGTGATATAGTGGTTTTTTGTTACCAAAGAGGGGAAACCGCATATGGAAAATTCTCATTTTAAGAATGGCGAAACCCCGTGCCGAAATGACACAAGAGGAACTAGCAGCGAAAGAGCAGGAAGAGTTCAATGTCGGACCTCTGTCCATTCTCAACAACTCTGTAAAAAATAATGCTCAGGTGAGCTCTTCCCACATTTTCATAGTTTTGGACAACTAAGGTTTTGTTTCCAGGTCCTCATCAATTGCAGAAACAACAAGAAACTTCTCGGCAGAGTTAAGGCTTTTGACAGGTCTGTCTGAATTTTTTTAATCAATGTCGCTGTCGTACATTTGTTTGCTAGAGCAATAATGATGGTACCGTCCTTGATCTTATACGGAATTACCGGAGCAAAAAAAATACAGGATATAAAATGCTCGGCACTGAATTATATAATACATGCATCTATAATGTGCCACTTATTCCATTTCTGTTTTGCACTGGCCCGTAAAATGACCGGTGGCGGAGCAGATGTACAGAGTGTTACTTATATTTTGAATCTTGCTTTAGGCCGATGTCAGACTTTGCGAATCGCGCGATTCGCTACTAGCGATTCGCGCGATTCGCTAGCGTCCGCGGTCGCGTTGCGGTACCAGCCAATTGAGTGATTCACTGGCCGCGACGCGACCGCAGACGCTAGCGAATCGCGCGATTCGCAAAGTCTGACATCCATCGGCCTTAGGTGGCAGTTCTCTGATGATAAAGCTTTTGAGAATTTGATTCTGAGACTGACTTACGGTTTCAAAAATCCTCTCTTACTGGGGAGCGAAACTTTTTGCTTTGATTCCAATAGTGTGCTGGCACTCTCAGTTTTGGGCTCGTTGATAATGTGGGAGGGATTTATGATCTCAGTGAAATGAATTTAGATATGACGCAGAAAGGTGTACTAGAGAGAAATGCAAAAATTGAGTAAAATTAAAACCTCAGAAAAATCCTTGAGTCGAATAACGGACGGGTACCGGGGCAGACCATTTAGGATCGTACCACAAGCCATGTGTTGTACTATAATATTAGGTTGTCGGAAAAGTCTTTGCGCATTTGGCAACTTTTTTTCAAAATTGTTTTTCTTCTTTAGTGCAGCCAACAATTGCTGAATACATACACCACAATAATCGTCGAAACATTGCTCTTCAGCGGGCAATTCAGGTTGCCGGCCCTTCAGAAATCCCGAGTCTTTGGGGCGAAGAGCTCAAAGAGGTTGACTCCGAGTAGGTCCGGATCATCGAACTGCCCCTATTTCAGTACCTTCGACGGCAACAGAAGCGTATGGTAGCCCGCCTCTACCAGGTTTGTTGTACACACTTAAGTGGGTCAGATCATTCTGTAACGAGCCTGGAGACCTTTCCTGAAATCTTCTTCGTAATTCGTGGGCGAGCGCTGCTGACGTAAAGTAAAGTTTCTCCGATTTTCCGGGCACTATGCCGGGAAACCAATCCATTTGCTAACATTATCGTTCACCAATAGCAGTGGACTTCGTTGGCAGCAGCTCTCCGTGAGCGAAACATTTGCAGCCTCATGAGCTTTCAATGTTGCCTCCCAAGTTGCAGTTACTCGAATCGGCGTTGCAATCTTTTGTTCTACGCATCCGAGCCAGTCGTGCTTTCGCGTGCGGTATCTGAGGATCCCACTTCTTGACACTACCAACAAAGTTGGCGGATCAAGCGATAGACGGCGGGAAATCAAAATATTCTTGCAGAATTTAATGGTCTCAATAGCGTGTAGTCAGTCAGATCTCAAAATATGCTTTCGCCATAATTTCACTTCTTTTAGAGGCTATATTGAGGAACGGTCATTGTGATCTGAAAGAGCTCCGCCAATTACCATGCATTGCACTAAGCACTCTCCAATCGAATTCAGAATGCACTCGTCAATGAGGGTGGCAGGCCGATCAGATTTGTGGTTTTTTTCGCAAGTATCTCGAACTCGGCAACCAAATAATCACCATATTGTGAAAGATAGTTCAGAGGATAATCACGACATGTAGAACTCCCACTGCTTCGCTCCTATCAACGCATTTTAGAGGCTTATAAAGGCAGGACCAGTTAGACATACCTTCGGTGAAAGGCGATTTTTAAGCTTCAAAAGCTGCGAAATGCTACGACAGAAATGCTGTGAAGAGAGCATTAACCACCGCTCATATGCGTATGACAGTGAATGTTTCAAAACAATTCGAAAAGATTTTGCAAGGTGAAAATGAAAATGCGCAAGAACTTTTCCGACAACCTAATATACAAGTGTGCTCATATTTTGATCTGCTTTCAACTGATGATAATTTTCTGAGAGGTTCTGGGACTGCCAGAAAAGGGCAAAAAGCTTCCTACGGGGAGCGAAACTTTTGCTTTTGATTTCAATATACTCTGCAACACTCTCAGCTTTGGTTAGTTGCATAATGGAAGGTTTTGGCTCAGTGAATGATTTATATATGAACGCAAGAAAGTGGAAACCAGAGAAATGCAAAAATTGGTCACCACCAGGGGTGATCGTACCACAAGTCATTGTTCCCATATATTTTTAAGAATTTCCAGGGCCACTTAGAAAAAAATGATCCTCAGTTTCACGCTCTACGCACGTGCTCCTACAACATGCAAAAACATGCAAAAACCCGCTTTGAAAAGCGCTCCATTTCTGAGACACATTCCTGATTATTTGTGCATTTAAAGCTGATGGATGTCAGGAGGTGAAATATAGAATGACCGAAACAATTATCTTAGAAGTGGTTGGCACAATGACGAGTAGACTTCAGGTATTGAAAATGTTCCGTGTTATGGTACAACGCGGATAGGTGAGGGGTCACATACTAAGCGGCCGCTGCACAGCTTTTCTTCTAATAGTCCAATGAGAATGTTCAATGGTTGTCAAGTTTCTGCCGTTCGACTAGCTTTGAACAATTTAGGCATTGCAATATGGTTCTCGAAAACGTAAAAGAAATGTGGACGGAGCAACCTAAAACAGGAAAAGGGAAGAAAAAGGTAGTTTTTTCTCTCAATTTGATCCCGATTCCTTTCATTCTTATGCTATTTGACTTAATCCAATTTTGTTTGCATTCGAGAACTTTTTTTCGAGTTTCACAAACGTGATCCTCTTGGTTTTGGCATTTGTCGCTTCCATCATAAAATTTCAATGCCTGTGGTAATACCTATTGAGTCCTTCGTAAGCCGTTTGAGCTCAGAAAAGAGTTTCTCTCAGC